CACCTACTGTACCTGAGGAGCGGTCTCCGCAGATGGCACAGATGTGTTTGGTGAGGGAGAGAGGCATGCACCCCTGGGAGGGCTGGGCGGGCACCTTCATCACCCCGTTGAGACCCAGCGGGGGCTTGATGTCCTCCGAGCTGCTGACCGAGTTCATCTGAGAGTTCAGCTGGAACATCAACACACACAAACACCCGAACAGACAGGTCACAACGCCGCTCTGACACTGACACGCAAGACATCATACACACACTTCATCAGATTACACAGCTGAAATGGCAATGTGATGCATTGTGGTTACTTAATGTCATCAACCAGGGGCAGCTCTGTTTTTCAGCAAGATAATGATTACAGCAAGATTAGGCATAGACTAGGGAGAGTAGACCTCTGCACACAGAAAACAGAAATGGCTGAGTACGTATCCATGCAGCTGAGCTGATTGGGAGATTTAAGCTAACTACAGCTTGGCTGTAGTTCCAGTAGCAGCCTAGCAGGCCTTCTCCCTCCACTTCCCTGCCTGTGTTTCAGATCTAAAACCTGTCGCTGCTAGATCCTGCACCCCTTAACCCCAGGAGTTATTTAATTCATGCTCTCAACAACCCCCCTAGCCTCCAAATGCTCAGCGCTAGCATAACTTCTATGCAACATTTAGCAGTACAGCAGAATAAAGGGCCAGTGTTCGTTTTAGCAAGAGAGAGTGTTCCAAGTAAGAATTTGAAAGGGTCTCCTCCAGTTCATTAGGGAGGGGCACGGTTATTTGAATATTAGAATATCCAAAAGTACGTGAATAGTTGATCACGTGTGAGTATTAATTTTTTAGGGCAGAAAATGATAGGCCTATTTTAATCATGAAAATATTTTTTCAAAATTACATTAAAATATCCATGTGACATTGTTACATACAAGGATATACCATGACATTTAAAATTCTTAATTTAATAAAACAATAAACTTTTGAATGTAGTTTATATGTGGTGCGCCCCATAAAAAAAGACTGGTAGCCTTTACGCAAGATTATAGCTTGTTGTTTTTGTTGGCCAATCAAATGGGCAAATATCTCCATGTGTAGCAAGTGAAGTCAAATAAAAGTACGGAATTAAACGTTAAAATGCCCATCCCTACAGTGCACTCAGCTCTGCTGTGAAACTGAGCTTTGATAATGTTCATGTGAAAACCCCCTCTCCAACTGTGTAGCATCACAGGGAGAACTAAGAGACACTATTCAACTATGCTGTTATCACTGGAGTTACTGGAGTTACTAAGAATCTCAATTACCACTCAACAAAAATGAATGGATATAGGTGAAACTAGCTAGCTAGCCAACCATTTTGTACAGCTATGGAAAAAACGTTTTTAGGAGCAATGTCTGTGTCAGCATGCTCTAAAACGATGATGTCAAAATGACCCAAATAGAAGCAAAAAGTACAAATAATTCACTTTGGAAAATATGAAAATGAAAGGGACTGAATGTACAGATTGTTTTTTGGGGGGGAGAACATTTAAGAGCTCTATAAATTCTACAGCCAACAAAAAAATTTATATAAACAGTATGACAGTCGTAATATTACTGTGGTATTACCAAGTTATGTATTTCTTTAACAACAACAATGCCATCCTTTCACAATCAACACCTATCCTGGTGTTGACATGCGTATGCCAGACAGGGGGAGACTTGCTAGACTGCTTGCTAGACTGGGGTACAGGGGATACTGTGGGTTCACATGTCCTAGCTAGCTAGCACATGTCTTAATTGAGTTACTGTACACTGTAAAGACACATGTCTAACAGAGCAAATGCTAATCACACTAAATAGCTTACGGCATAGAAACACAGACAGTGTTTATAGAGCGAGAGAGAGAAAGATGAAAGAAACATGTTGTATTCAAGATAGAATGATGAAAATAACATGGCGCTACAGTTCATGCTAGCCTTTCTAACCTTCCTTCAGATGTGTTTCCAAAGCGCTGTCAGGGACTAATTAGTATACTGTCCATGTTTACACATTAACTATACACAAAGACAAACATATCCCACAAAGACAAACATATGTCCTTTCTTTCTGACATGGAATCCTCACAGCTCAAGGCCACAGGGTACACACACATGTAAACTGGCATGTTGACAGGCTGCACACATCCACTTTATTTAGCTGCACTGCACACACAGGACAACCCCCACACCAAGGCTCAAATGAGCGGCAGCAAACTACCAAAGCCTCGTCATACATACTGTACACTTATAGTGTACATGCTTGCACACATGTTCACATACATGTGCACATGTCTACACACACATGCAATCTGATTGGACTGACTTCTTTCTTTGCAGAAAATCTGATCTAATTTGATCATTGTCTTATTGCGACAGAAACTCAAGGCTATAGAAATTGATATAATGTGTATTATTGAGCTTATGCTACAAAGACAATAGATGACATTCAATCAAGCTAGTCGTCTTGACTTCTTTCTTATGTCATTCTCGTTGGCACCAAAAGTTTAAAAAGTGTTCATAGGGGACAGAATGCGGTCGGACCATCATATAATTGGCATATACATTATTCTTACTGAATTTCCACGTGGGCGAGGATATTGGAAATGTAATCAAAGCCTATTGGATGATAACTTGTTTTTAACTAGGACAGAGGAATTTATAACTGATTTCTTCCGACATAACATAGGTACAGCAAATGCCCTTATTGTATGGGACACTTTTAAATGTGCCTTTAGAGGCCATGCAATTCAGTAATCATCTCGAAAACAAAAGCAATTTAGGTCAAAAGAGTCCACACTAACAAAGAAAATAGAAGGTCTAACAGAACAGATAGATAGCAATAAAAACTGTAATATAGAGGCTAAGAATAAATTAGAGGGCGAAAAAAATGTGAGAAACTTATTCAAGAAAGATCAAGTGTAATATATTATAAAAAATAAAGGAAACTGGATGGAATACAGGGAAAAATGCACCAAATTCTTTTTTAATCTTCAAGATAAAATGCTACCAAAAATAATTTACTGAAACTGGTTATAAATGACGGCGTCACCCATGATTCACCAAATTATATTTTGAAGGAGGAAGCAAAGTACTTTAAGCATATGTTTTCGTTTCAGTCACCTCCATCTCCTCTAACTGAAGCTAATTGTAGGGATTTATTTTCTATTGATAATGTAAAATTAACAGCCATACTAAAATACTCATGTGAAGGTGAAATTACAGAGGAGGAACTTCTGGATGCAATTAAAGACTTTAAGTCCGGGAAAACTCCAGGGTTGGATGGCATACCGGTCGAGGTATACCAAACCTTTTTTTGATATACTCAGAGGACCGTTATTATCATGTTTCAACCACTCCTATGTAAATGGTAGATTATCAGACACTCAAGAAGAAGGTCTGATTTCATTATTACTGAAACAGGACACAAGTGGGAAATACAGTGAGGGAAAAAAGTATTTGATCCCCTGCTGATTTTGTACGTTTGCCCACCGACAAAGACATGATCAGTCTATAATTTTAATGGTAGGTTTATTTGAACAGTGAGAGACAGAATAACAACAAAAAAATCCAGAAAAACACATGTCAAAAATGTTATAAATTGATTTGCATTTTAATGAGGGAAATAAGTATTTGACCCCTCTGCAAAACATGACTTAGTACTTGGTGGCAAAAACCTTGTTGGCAATCACAGAGGTCAGACGTTTCTTGTAGTTGGCCACCAGGTTTGCACACATCTCAGGAGGGATTTTGTCCCACTCCTCTTTGCAGATCTTCTCCAAGTCATTAAGGTTTCGAGGCTGACGTTTGGCAACTCGAACCTTCAGCTCCCTCCACAGATGTTCTATGGGATTAAGGTCTGGAGACTGTCTAGGCCATTCCAGGACCTTAATGTGCTTCTTCTTGAGCCACTCCTTTGTTTCCTTGGCCGTGTGTTTTGGGTCATTGTCATGCTAGAATACCCATCCATGACCCATTTTCAATGCCCTGGCTGAGGGAAGGAGGTTCTCACCCAAGATTTGACGGTACATGGCCCCGTCCATCGTCCCTTTGATGCGGTGAAGTTGTCCTGGCCTCTTAGCAGAAAAACACCCCCAAAGCATAATGTTTCCACCTCCATTTTTGACGGTGGGGATGGTGTTCTTGGGGTCATAGGCAGCATTCCTCCTCCTCCAAACATGGCGAGTTGAGTTGATGCCAAAGAGCTCCATTTTGGTCTCATCTGACCACAACACTTTCACCCAGTTCTCCTCTGAATCATTCAGATATTCATTGGCATACTTCAGACAGGCCTGTATATGTGCTTTCTTGAGCAGGGGGACCTTGCGGGCGCTGCAGGATTTCAGTCCTTCACGGCGTAGTGTGTTACCAATTGTTTTCTTGGTGACTATGGTCCCAGCTGCCTTGAGATCATTGACAAGATCCTCCCGTGTAGTTCTGGGCTGATTCCTCACCGTTCTCATGATCATTGCAACTCCACGAGGTGAGAACTTGCATGGAGCCCCAGGCCGAGGGAGATTGACAGGTCTTTTGTGTTTCTTCCATTTGCGAATAATCGCACCAACTGTTGTCACCTTCTCACCAAGCTGCTTGGCGATGGTCTTGTAGCCCATTCCAGCCTTGTGTAGGTCTACAATCTTGTCCCTGACATCCTTGGAGAGCTCTTTGGTCTTGGCCATGGTGGAGAATTTGGAATCTGATTGATTGATTGCTTCTGTGGACAGGTGTGTTTTATACAGGTAACAAGCTGAGATTAGGAGCACTCCCTTTAAGAGTGTGCTCCTAATCTCAGCTCGTTACCTGTATAAAAGACACCTGGGAGCCAGAAATCTTTCTGATTGAGAGGGGGTCAAATACTTATTTCCCTCATTAAAATGCAAATCAATTTATAACATTTTTTACATGCGTTTTTCTGGATTTTTTTGTTGTTATTCTGTCCCTCACTGTTCAAATAAACCTACCATTAAAATTATAGACTGATCATTTATTTGTCAGTGGGCAAACGTACAAAATCAGCAGGGGATCAAATACTTTTTTCCCTCACTGTATAATGATCCAGTCCATTAAAAAAATTGGAGGCCCCTTACACTTCAGTGTTGTAATGCAAAAATTCTAGCAAAATGTATAGCGTATAGAATTAAAAGAGTATTGTCGGACATTATTAATTCTAATCAGACAGGTTTTTTACATGGACAATACTTTGGAGATAATATAAGGCAAGTACTGGAAACAATAGAACACTATGAAAAATCTGGGAAACCAGGAAACCAGTACATTTGATAAAGTACGACTGGAGTTTATATATAAATGCCTGGAGCATTTCAATTTTGGAGAATCTCTTATAAAATGGGATAAAATCATGTATAGTAACCCTAGGTGTAAAATAGTAAATAATGGCTATTTCTCCAAAAGTTTTAAACTGTCAAGAGGAGTAAAACAAGGTTGTCCACTATTGGCATATCTATTTATTATGGCCATTGAAATATTAGCTATTAAAATCAGATCCAACAATAATATCAAGAAATTAGAAATCCAGGGCTTAAAAACAAAGGTGCCATTGCACGCTGATGATTCATGTTTTCTTTTAAATCCACAACTTGAATCCCTCCACAGCCTCATAGAGGATCTAGATACATTTTCTAACCTCTCTGGATTACAACCAAATTATGATAAATGTACTATATTACATATTGGATCACTAAAAAATAAAAACATTTACATTACCATGTAGTTTACCAATAAAATGGTCTGATGGTGATGTGGATGTACTCGGAATACATATCCCAAATGAAATAAATGATCTCACTCCAATACATTTTAATAGAAAGTTAGCAAAAATAGATAAGATCTTGCTACCATGGAAAGGTAAATACCTGTCTATATATAAATGACTAAAATGTAAATGTATTTGTGGAAAAATCACCCTGATTAACTCTTTAGTATTATCCCAGTTTACCTATTTGCTTATGATCTTGCCTACGCCTTGAGAACAGTTTTTTAAATTATATGAGAAAAAAATATTCAATTTTATTTGGAACGGCACGCCAGACAAAATTAAACGGGCCTATTTATATAATGAATATGAATTCGGAGGAAATAAATTATTAAATATTAAAGCATTAGACCTATCACTAAAAGCTTCAGTCATACAAAAGTTATAATTAAATCCGAACTGGTTTTCGAGCAAGTTAGTAAGATTGTCTAACCCGATGTTCAAGAACGGCCTTTTCCCCTTTATTCAGATTACAACCTCTCACTTTCAGTTATTTGAAAAGGAAATAATCTCCCAAATATCACTATTTCTAAAACAAGCAATAGAAAGTTGGCTGCAATTGCAATTTAATCATCCAGAAACGACAGAACAAATAATGCAACAAATATTGTGGTTAAACTCAAATATACTAATTGATAAAAATGTTTTAAAAAGGTGTAATCATCGTAAATGATATCATAGGTAGGATTAGTGGAATTATGTCGCACATGCACCTAACAAAAACATATGGAAATGTCTGCTCTACCCAAAATTACAACCAAATAATTGCAGCATTACCGCAAAAATGGAAGAGGAAAGTGGAAGAGGGAAAAAGTAAGGAACTTGTCTGACGTACCGATTCCATGGCATAGTGTTTATGAACTGATACGCAAAACGACGCCGGATTCAAAACTTAGAATTTTTCAATTTAAATTATTATAAAAAATTCTTGCTACCAATAGAATGTTATTTATATGGGAAATACAATCTTCCCAGCTCTGCAGATTTTGCTGCGAAGAGACAGAATCATTAGATCATTTGTTTTGGTACTGTCCATTTGTAGCTTGTTTTTGGTCACAGGTCCAGGAATGGCTGAAGGATTGCAATATTTACCTGGAGCTAACCCTGCAGATAGCACTACTGGGTGATCTGAAAAGTCATAGTCAATCGATCAATAATATAATAATACTTTTAGCAAAAACATTTATTTTCAATTTACAATCTGTAGAAACAACGAGAATAGAAGGTTTCAGAACTTTTGTGAAACATCACAGTACAGTTGAAAAATGTATGGCAAATAGAAATCCAATATGGATGGTGTTAAGAGATAGATGGGAGGTGTTGAATGGAGCTGAAGGATAGGACTAATAACAACTAACAACAACTAATAACAATAAAATAACTAATGTAAAGCATACTGTGTCCATTGTGAAAGAGCACAGTTAGAAAGATGTGGCATATAGAAGCAAACCGGATGGACATCATGAAAATGATCAGATAGGTTGAGGGTAGAGGAAGTTCAGGAGTAAAAACAAACAAAATAGAGTTATTATAAAATTGACTGTGTCCTTAAAATGTATATAGTATGTATAAACTGGAAGTAGAGGCCGAAGCGTTGTTGTTCACTAGTTTACTTCAATTAGGGAAGGGGTGTTGGGGTTGGAAAGTAATAAAGGGAAATATATATTTTTAAAGGATATGTATATATATATATATATATATATATATATATATATATATGTATGTATATGTATTTATATGTATGTGTATATGTATGTTTATGTATGTATGTATATGTATATGTAAATATATATATATATATATATACAGTGGGGAGAACAAGTATTTGATACACTACCGATTTTGCAGGTTTTCCTACTTACAAAGCATGTAGAGGTCTGTAATTTTTATCATAGGTACACTTCAACTGTGAGAGACGGAATCTAAAACAAAAATCCAGAAAATCACATTGTATGATTTTTAAGTAATTAATTTGCATTTTATTGCATGACATAAGTATTTGATCACCTACCAACCAGTAAGAATTCCGGCTCTCACAGACCTGTTAGTTTTTCTTTAAGAAGCCCTCCTGTTCTGCACTCATTACCTGTATTAACTGCACCTGTTTGAACTCGTTACCTGTATAAAAGACACCTGTCCACACACTCAATCAAACAGACTCCAACCTCTCCACAATGGCCAAGACCAGAGAGCTGTGTAAGGACATCAGGGATAAAATTGTAGACCTGCACAAGGCTGGGATAGGCTACAGGACAATAAGCAAGCAGATTGGTGAGAAGGCAACAACTGTTGGCGCAATTATTAGAAAATGGAAGAAGTTCAAGATGACGGTCAATCACCCTCGGTCTGGGGCTCCATGCAAGATCTCACCTCGTGGGGCATCAATGATCATGAGGAAGGTGAGGGATCAGCCCAGAACTACACGGCAGGACCTGGTCAATGACCTGAAGAGAGCTGGGACCACAGTCTCAAAGAAAACCATTAGTAACACACTACGCCATCATGGATTAAAATCCTGCAGCGCACGCAAGGTCCCCCTGCTCAAGCCAGCGCATGTCCAGGCCCGTCTGAAGTTTGCCAATGACCATCTGGATGATCCAGAGGAGGAATGGGAGAAGGTCATGTGGTCTGATGAGACAAAAATATAACTTTTTGGTCTAAACACCACTCGCCGTGTTTGGAGGAAGAAGAAGGATGAGTACAACCCCAAGAACACCATCCCAACCGTGAAGCATGGAGGTGGAAAGATCATTCTTTGGGGATGCTTTTCTGCAAAGGGGACAGGACGACTGCACCGTATTGAGGGGAGGATGGATGGGGCCATGTATCGCGAGATCTTGGCCAACAACCTCCTTCCCTCAGTAAGAGCATTGAAGATGGGTCGTGGCTGGGTCTTCCAGCATGACAACGACCCGAAACACACAGCCAGGGCAACTAAGGAGTGGCTCCGTAAGAAGCATCTCAAGGTCCTGGAGTGGCCTAGCCAGTCTCCAGACCTGAACCCAATAGAACATCTTTGGAGGGAGCTGAAAGTCCGTATTGCCCAGCGACAGCCCCGAAACCTGAAGGATCTGGAGAAGGTCTGTATGGAGGAGTGGGCCAAAATCCCTGCTGCAGTGTGTGCAAACCTGGTCAAGACCTACAGGAAACGTATGATCTCTGTAATTGCAAACAAAGGTTTCTGTACCAAATATTAAGTTCTGCTTTTCTGATGTATCAAACACTTATGTCATGCAATAAAATGCAAATTAATTACTTAAAAATTATACAATGTGATTTTCTGGATTTTTGTTTTAGATTCCTTCTCTCACAGTTGAAGTGTACCTATGATAAAGATTACAGACCTCTACAGGCTTTGTAAGAAGGAATACCTGAAAAATCGGCAGTGTATCAAATACTTGTTCTCCCCACTGTATATGCGAGAAAAACAACATATGGGGGATTGGAAGTGATGCAGACAATTACATTGATGGAAGTTACAATCTATCTGCAATATTAAAGCTGATCTACCCCCCCAAATAAAAAAATAAAAAAAAATAATAATAATAAATGACGTCATGTGTAGTGCTATAATTCAGTTATACACTACTTCATTTATATAGATAGAACTCAATGTGTATCTACTGATGGTGTTAAATCAGGTTTCCTGGATATTACAAAAGGTGTCCCGCAAGGTTCGATTCTGGGTCCTTTTTACTGTTTACATTAACAATATCGACTTGTCTGTACAAAAAATGGGCTTCTTCTATAGAAATATGTCCTGCCTTTCATAAATAGTAGAAAGTAGATTATTCAGTCGATGTTCCTATCGGTCCTAGACTATCGTGACATCTATAGGAACACAGCTGCCACTTCATTAAAGCTGTTAGATGCAGTTTATCATAGCGCACTACGCTTTATTACGGGAGACAATTTTTGTACTCATCACTGCATTCTCTACCAGAAAGTTGGTTGGCCCTCTTTGATGTCACATAGGTTGAAAAATTGCTATGTTTTGATTTATAAAGCCCTTTTACAAAAAGTCCCACTGTACCTAACATCTTTACTAAACTTTAGACATACGAGTTACCACACCCAGTGATGGTTAACTCTAGAAATTCCTTTGGTCTCTCCTGAGTTAGGTAAATCAGCTTTTAGTTTTCTTGCACTTTATTTGTGGAACAATCTTCAAAATGTTCTAAAATGTGATGTTCTGGTGTCTCTAGGGCAATTCAGAAAGCTGATTGATGACCTTATTACTGATAAATGTGTTTGTTTTTTATGACCGTGTTTTTCTTTCTGCTTGCATTTTGTATTTATATTTTCATGTGTGTATTTTCAGTAATTTCTGTCATTCAGGGCTCATCTGTAAGAGACCTTGGTCTCAGTATGACTCCCTGATAAAATAAAGGTTAAATAAAATGTATACAGACTGTCATATGGACTGTCAGAAAAGAGTAATTGATGACAGATGCTGTATTTTCTCAAGGAACATGCAACTGTGACCACATCTTTGGTCTATAAACACACACACCCACCCACACACACAAACACACCCAACCAAATGCACACACACACCCAACCACATGCACAACGTTTTTTTGTTGTTGTTGTTTTTATCTGTATTGTTGTTTATCACTTAAACTTAAAATTACACTAAACTTAAACCCCAGACACACAGACACGCACAATATTGAGTTCCTACCTCAATTTAACGTCAATGTCTACTCTTTTCTCCTGTAGCACAAAAAAGCCTGTTTCATCGTCTGAGATTGTCTTTATCAAACCCAATAGCTGTCTGATAGAAAAGACTGTTCCTCTCCTAATCTATTTTCAGTGAACCTGCAACTTAATCTGTCCACAGTTACACTACTCTCCATGCCGGGGTGGGCTGGGGGTCTCTCTCTCTAGTGCTTCTCTCTTTCCCAGGGCAGTGCAGGGATGGTGGGGGATTAAAGGGCTCAGTCCTGGGTCTGGAAATAGAATACAACCCCCTCCCCACCATTCATTGATTCATAGACGCTACTGAATGCAAGTGCAACACACGGAAATGGAAATGCAATAACAAGGAGGTGCGTTGCAAATAGGCTGACACTTAACACTAAATTCCTCTGACGTGAATATAGCACATTTGTTTAGCTAAATTCCCATGATGTGAATAAAGCTACCTTGTTTCTATAGTTACCACCCACTATGGGTTTCCTGGGGTAAAATGTAATCTCTTAAACTTGTAGGCCTTTTGTTACAGTTACCACCCACTATTGGTTTCATTAGGTAAAATGCAACATTCATGAACATGAAATAACCAGGCTTTGAATCTTGAGCCTTGTTACAATCTATCGCCCTTAACGGGTTAGCTGAGATATAGTCGGTCCTGGGAAACCCCCCCGGGAGCACATTTGTTTTTTGTCCTAGCACTACCAAGCTGATTCAAATAAACAACTCATCATTAAGCTTTGATTATTTGATTATCAGCTGTGTAGTGCTAGGGCAAAAAACTAAACGTGCACCCAGGCGGGGCCCCAGGACCGAGTTTGGGAAACCCCAGTGTAACGTGTTACCGTCTACCGCCCATGAAGGGTTAGCTTAGGTATTGTGCCATGCTTTGGACCAGTGAATCAGATGGAGTTGTTACGCTCCTGCTCATTTAAAATGAACCAGAATCAGATGGGAGTTTCACCTAAGGTCCTTGGCTCCCACTGAGGCTGTAAGAAGCAGAATGTTGAAGAGTTCAGACAATACCCTGTGTTTGAATAAGGACCTATACAGTCTGGTTTACTATGAGGAGACATAGACACGCTCCAGAGCAGCTGTGCTGGCTCACAGAGGAGAGGAGAAAGAGAGGAGAGGAGAGAAGAGAAGAAAAGAGGAGAAAGAGAGGAGCATTACTAGCTGTTTGGGGTTTTAGGCTGGGTTTCTGTACAGCACTTCGAGATATTAGCTGATGTAAGAAGGGCTATATAAAATAAAATTGATTGATTGATTGAGAGGAAGAAGGAGAGTAGAGAGAGGAGAAGTGATAGAGGAGATGGAAGATATTATAGGAGAGGAGAGAAGGGAGGAGAGGAGAGGAGAGGAGAGAGAAGGGAGGGACTCGGAGGGAGGTTTGAGAGGAGAGTCTTCTGACGATCGAGAAGAGTATCGATGACTCGTTCACTTCTTGCTTCTATAGGAGTGCGGATACTAGTAGGCAGAAGGAGAAGGATGGGGAGAGGGAACGGAACAGAAGGAGAGGAGAGGCGTGCTCGAGAGGGGGAGAGAGGGCTTTCAGGTCAGAGGAGAAAGAGCGCAAGTTCGCTCCTTCCCTTTTCCTTCCGCCTCTCCCTTCTCCTCTCTCTTTTCTCTCCTTCTCCTCCCCTTCTCTCTCCCGCTCTCTCTTTCTTTCTCCTTTTTCTTCCCCTTCTCTTCCCCCTCCTTCCTCTCTCTCCCTCTCTCTCCTTCTTTTCCCTTCTCCTTCTCTCCTCTCTCTCTTCCTCTCTCTCCTCTCTCTCCTCTCCCTCCTCCCTCTTCTCCCTCTCCTCTCTCTCCTTTTCCTCTCTCTCTCTCCTCCTCTCCTCTCCCTTTTCTCTTCTCTTCTCTTCTCCTTTTCCCTCTCTTTTCCTCTCTCTCCTCTCTCTCTCTTCTTTCTCTCTTCTCCCTTCACCCTTTCTCTTCTCTTGTCTCTCTTCGTCTTTCTTTCCTTTGTCTCTTTCTTCTCTTCTCTTCTCTTCCTCTTCTCTTCTCTTCTCCCCTTCTGTCTCCCTGTCCCCCTCTCTTTCATTCCCCTTTTACCGACTTATTCCTTTAAAAACACAGGTATTGTCTGAACTTTTCAACATTCCCCTTCTTACAGCCTCTATTTCTCTCTCTCTCTCTCTCTCTCTCTCTCTCTCTCTCTCTCTCTCTCTCTCTCACTAGCTCTATCTCTGCATAGGGAGAAAACAAATGAAACTGTTTAAAACAGGAATTGACAGTTTGCTCACTCTGATGTAACAACACCTCTAGTTATACTGGGATTGGGAGAGTCATTTCAGTGGTTTCAATGCCACAATCAAATACAATATGTACGCACACCGCTACAGTGAAAATAAACCATTTACACAAACAGCATGACTCCTAACTCCTAGAATGCTGAAGACCACCTTCAAAAAGACTGTATACCACGGGTATGACAAAACATGTATTTTTACTACTCTAATTACGTTGGTAAGCAGTTTATAATAGCAATAAGGCACCTCAGGGGTTTGTGGTATATGGGCAATATACCACGGCTAAGGGCTGTATCCAGGCACTCCACGTTGCGTTGTGCATAAGAACAGCCCTTAGCCGTGGTATGTTGGCCATATACATTTACATTTTAGTCATTTAGCAGACGCTCATGTCCAGAGCGACTTACAGTTAATGAGTGCATAAATGTTTCATACTGGCCCCCCGTGGGAATCAAACCCTCAACCCTGGCGTTGCAAGCGCCATGCTCTACCAACTGAGCTACAGGAGGGCCTTATCACACCCCCTTGGGCTTTATTGCTTAAATATGCTATGATGGCACTTACAGTACACACTATAAAAACCTCCCTCCACCATGCATTGAAAAGAGTAGAAAAGAACAGGGGAGACATTAGAGGCCCCTGCATAAGACTGGCTTAGCTTGTTTCCCTGAGTCTGAGTACAGACTTTGCTCATAAAGACACATCAAAGGAATACATCAAATCCTACTGCACCACTTCTCAATGCTCAACCCCCAAGTGTAACTCCACTGTCTAACAGTTCAAGGGCACCTTTTATTGAGTAGAAGTTATGAGGCTCACATTATTCTTTCATAACACCCCCATTATATGTTTTGGACACAAAAATTAATAAGTGCAGAAAGCCATTGCCAGGAATCCTCGATTTTCTTTCCACTAGAGAATCAGATTCCTCGCTGAAGTAGGACTTGCTAGTGAGCAATCAACTGAAGTTTGGTTTTAATAAATTGCTGATTTGCAAGGCTAAACTCCAAAAATGTAAGCTGGCCAAAGCTGACGAGTCTGCTTCTGCAAAGTGGAGGAAGTGGACACTGGATACAAATAGACACAAATATCAGTCTGACAGACAACAAGTCTTAACCACCAGCCCTTAGGGAACAGTCAGAGGTGTGTAGAGTTAATGATCTAACCTTCTGATAACCCCAATACAACCTGTGATCTCTGACCTCACTTCCTGTTGAAAACAACAAACAATCTTCATCAGTCATGGCTAGAAGGGATCTAGCATTTATCAAATTAACGTCAGATTTGACTTTTCGTAGCAGGTTAGAAGAACTTACGCAGCAGATTAGGATAATTAATGTAGCAGGTTAGGAAAACTAAGTTAACTTTAGAAAAAGGGTTAGGGTTAGCTAAAATGAAAATATTTTTTTTTAAACAAAAAATTGATCCCTTCTAGCCATGACCCTTATCATCTCATACAACCTGGGCCCGGTTTCTCAAAAGCATCTTAAGGCTAAGTTCATCGTTAGAATCTTTGTAGGAGCATCGTTAAATCTCGGAGCTGTTTCCTAAAAACATCGTTGTTAACGTTGTTCTTGAAAATACTCAATATAACACCTGCCTCAGACCACTCGTAGAACAGCTAAGTGCGTCGTTAGATGTGTTGTCTACTGAACAAAAATATAAACGCAACATGCAAAGATTTCACTGAGTTACAGTTCATATAAGGAAATCAGTCATTGTAATACATTTATTAGGCCCTAATCTATGGATTTCACATGACTGGGAATACAGATATGCATCTGTTGGTCACAGATACCTTAAAAAAAAAGTAGGGGCGTGGATCAGAAAACCAGTCAGTATCTGGTGTGACCACTATTTGCCTCATGCAGCATGACACATCTCCTTCGCATAGAGTTGATCAGGCTGTTGATTGTGGCCTGTGGAATGTTGTCCCACTCCTCTTCAATGGCTGTGCGAAGTTGCCGGATATTGGCGGGAACTGGAACACGCTGTCGTACACGTCAATCTAGAGCATCCAGAGCATCCCCAATTGTGTTGTGTGACAAAACTGCACATTTTAGATTGGCCTATTATTGTCCCCAGCACAAGGTGCACAAGGTGCACCTGTGTAATAATGTTAATGCTGTTTAATCAGCTTACATTTACATTTTTACATTTTAGTCATTTAGCAGACGCTCTTATCCAGAGCGACTTACAGTTAGTGAATACATATTTTTTTTATACTGGCCCCCCGTGGGAATCAAACCCACAACCCTGGCGTTGCAAACGCCATGCTCTACCAACTGAGCTACATCCCTGCCGGCCATTCCCTCCCCTACCCTGGACGACGCTGGGCCAATTGTGCGCCGCCCATGAGTCTCCTGGTCGCGGCCGGCGGCGACAGAGCCTGGATTCGAACCAGGATCTCTAGTGGCACAGTTAGCACTGCGATGCAGTGCCTTAGACCACTGCGCCACTCAGGAGTACAGCTTCTCAGGAGTACAGCTTCTTGATATGCCACACCTGTCAGGTAGATGGATTATCTTGGCAAAGGAGAAATGCTCACTAACAGGGAGGTAAACAGATTTGTCCACAAGATTTGAGGCAAATAAACATTTTGTGCGTATGGAACATTTCTGGGATCTTTTATTCAGCTCATCAAACATGGGACCAACACTTTACATATTGTGTTTATATTTTTGTTCAGTGTAGATGCTTTTTTGCCCTCCTGCGTCACTTATACACAGAGTATGAAAAAAAAGATATGAAAAAAAATAATGAATGCACTCACTAACTGTAAGTCGCTCTGGATAAGAGCGTCTGCTAAATGACTAAAATGTAAAATGTAACTCCACTAAACATAGAATCAAATGGTTTATCTGTCTCTCTGTGACCGCTGATAACTTCAGAACAAAGTTGAATGCAAATACATGTTCATGTTCAATCAATTTAGTTTTATTTTGCTACTTGTAGTCTAGTGTCTGTAATTTGTCTGAGTATATTTCATGATGTGTAGCCTAACGTGCGCAATGATGTGGCAAATCGGTGATTTAGTACATTATTATAGGGTAAGCATTAGAATAAGCCGCCTCAATATTTGCAGCTGTAGGTGGTAATATCTCTAAAGGTCCTAGGAGCTGATCCGTGGTCAGTATTGTGAAATAATTATAATGTTAAGGTAAGATTTGAATGGAAAAGCTGATCCGACAGCAGCGCTCCCTTTCTTTCGATCCTATCAGTTTTGACACATGCTCCAATGACACACTTAGCAACTGTGCTCTCTACGTGTTTTTGGAAAAGCATATTACATCTTCGACCGTTGTAGGAAAATGCATTGTTAAAACACTCTTAGTTCCATCGCTGTAGAGAAACCGGGCCCTGGACTCTTTCTCTGCCACAATATTAAGTGTAAAAGAAAAAAGTACCCTTTGTGGTCAGTAGGAGCATCAACATCTAATCTTGACAAGCTATCAACAGATATGAGGTTTATGTTTCACACAGGAGGTGTGTTAAGCTTTATCCTCTCCTGAGGCATTTAGGGAATGTTAACAATAAGTCACCCTTTTGGGATCAATTACTGCAGTGTTACAACTCTGAAGGACACCTGTCTGACACACACATACACATGTGCATATTCACACACACACACACACACACACACACACACACACACACACACACACACACACACACACACACACACACACACACCCACACACACACTCTACTTGTGATGTATACTGCCACAATGTAATAGTGCCTGAGTTTTTTCAACAGAACTTTCTAGATGTCAAAAAGTGAGCTGCAGTCTATCAACATAATGTTGTTATGAGAACGTAATGGAGAGAGCATTGTAACATGGACTAGGGAATAGACATGCAGGCCTCCTGCTGGTGGCTCACCTCAGTGTGGCATTATCAGATGTGTGTTAGTCAGGCTTGTTCTCATAGGAGACATGGCCTCGTGAATGAGCAGCTTTCTCAATGCTGCTACAGAGTCATACTTTTCTCACGCCGCTCTCTCTCTCTCTCTCTCTCTCTCTCTCTTTCGCTCTCTCTCTCTCTCTCTCTCTCTCTCTCTCTCTCTCTCTCTCTCTCTCTCTTCTACAGCGAGTCAGCACTTTAACCCTTATGACACGATGTGATCACATGATGTTCACAAACCTAACATCCAAATGATGATTAGGTAATAATAACAGACTATCAACTTAATAATATCATATTGGCAATCAACCCATAACGTATTGGCAACCAACCCATAACGTATTGGCAACCAACCCATAACGTATTGGCAACCAACCCATAACGTATTGTCAATCAACCCATAACGTATTGGCAATCAACCCAGGGCCTACTTCATAACAGATTTACGGCATAATAATCAACCAAATGATAATTCACAAAGCAATTTTTATCTTAATCTTGAACCAATAAATAACATCATAATGTCGAATAACAATCAAATCATAAACCACATAATAATAGCCACATTATGAAGCAACGTTTTACCAAAATGTGTGCCAATTCATTTCTCAGGAATGGATTGGACCTGCTTGTTAGATATGATAAGGAATGGAGGATTGTCATTTCAAAATTCTCTGCAACTCACAACCAAAGACCAGTCACTGACAATCACTGACTGATGAGAGTCAGATGCAGTTGATTCTATTCGACCCACACTGACTGTGTTCACATTACCAACCTAAAGAGCCTGGTTAACCTTTCAACATAGAGGTCACATATGATGAAAAGCTGACTGTTTCCATGGCCTTCAGGCTTACAGAACAAAATGGTCTCCATCTTCAATGAAA